TGCCTGTCTCCAGTGTCAGGGCCAGTGGGCCAAGCACACAGGTGTAAGCCTCCGTGCTTTGTGTCTCTAGCTGTTGTAGGTGGGGCCTCCCTCTGGCTGGCCTGACACCAGCACAGTGACTGCAGGTTTGTGAACCGGTGCCGTTAGGCCAGGAGGAAGGCGCAGCAGGCTGCATGTCACAGTGGGGGGCTTCAGAGCTGAGTAGCCAGCCAGGGGGATGGAGCACCTGAAGCTTCTCAAAGTTCCCAACCTGTTGGGCAGAGCATGCCCAGACAACCTTGTCCACCTATCCTTTCTTCCACGTAGCAAGTTCCGTGCAAATCTCACCCCTTCAGCCCTCTCACTGCTAGGAAGCCTCTCAGACCACCTGCCTTTCCTTTATCTCAGTCTCTCAAGCACTCCGCCCATCCCAGCTCCCCAACCCCACCAATCTCCAGAGCACCACACAATGCAGGTTTGCGCTGCAAAGCAGACCTCCAGGGCTGGAAGTTCAGCACCCCCTCCCAGCTCCATTTCTCTTCCTCCTGCCAGTGAGCTGGGGTGTGGGAAGGGCTTGGGTCCCACCAGATCAAGGCTTTCTTATGTTACCCTGCTTCATGAGGTCTGCTCTGTTCCTGAGGTCTGTATGCAGTCTGGTGCAGCCTTTTGTCCTGTTGCTGTTTTAGGGTTAGTTGTATTAAGTATATTTTCTTACTATATGTGGTTTGGGGAGTTCTCTGTCTCACCTCTCACGCTGTCATCTTGAATTCCCCCTGGGGTTCTTTTGACTGCATTTTACGATCCTTCTGTAGTAAGTGCAGACTATTTTTCCATGAATAAATCAATAGGCCTGGGGAAGATAACTAAAACATATTTTCTTTGGAAGAATAATGTCCTATGGGAGACAGAAATATCTTCAGGCATTTCAGATTGCAGCAATTCCAAAACCCTTGGTTAGTTGCAAACTCTAATATGGATTTTTTTGGGTGTGGCTAATGGGAATGAATCAAGAAGGGACAAGTCAAATTGAGATAATTTTTATAGAAATGACTTACCCAGGAGGCAGCAGCTTTCAGGGTGATTAGTGTGTAACCATTTAAGAGTTCCTTGTCTTCTGTATTATTTCAGCACTGATGTTCAGAGCAAAGGTGATTTTGATACCTAGATGAGGTGAACGTTTAAGTGTATGGTTCAGTAGTGTTAAATATTTTCACACTGTTGTCCACAGATCTCTTGAACTTTTCATCTTGCAACACTGAGACTCTGTGTCCCCTAAATACTGATGCCCCTTGCCCTCCCCTAGCCCATGGCAGCCCCCTTTCTACTCCATCTATGATTTTTTACTGCTTTTGATGCATCATGTGAGTGGAGTGGTATAGTGTTGGACCTTCTGTGACTGGCCATTTCACTTAGCTTTATGTCCTCAAGGTTCGTCCGTGGTGTAGCAGTAACATTCCCTCCTTTTAAGGGCTGCCTGTTACTCCATTGACTGCACAGGCCACATTTTCGTTATCCATTCATCCCTTGAGGAGGATGGGTTGCTTCCAGCTTTTGGCTTTTGTGAATAGTGCTGCTGTGAACACGGAGTTGCAGATCTCTGCAGGAACTTGCTGTGAGTTCTTCTGGGCACCTACCCAGAGGTGGGACTGCGGGATCACATGGAAACCTTTTGTCTTTGTAACTGAACGTGTGCAGGCCTTTTGTGAGAGTAGCATGAGCTGTGAGCTGTGCAAGTCAGATTCCCTGCTGTGTGAGCCCCCCTGTCACTGCGGGTCCTCTTCTTCCCCCTGCCCGTGGGAATACCTATAAATGCTCTCCTTGATAATCTCTCCCTGAGAGATTAATTGTACAGATATTATCACCGTGACTTCTTTCCTGTTGTGCCAGAAAACGTCCTGCATCCTCAGATCTCCCAAAATAAACACCAGATTCATTGGGCCAGATTTCATTTCTGGGTGTGCACTGCTGTACTCACAAGTGCCTTACTCCAGAATGTTCCATCCAGGCCAGAGAGAGAGGCCTGAACAGAGAGAACCAGGAGGAAACTCAGGGGCACAGAAGCCAGATGCAACATGTCTGCCATCACCCACTGTTGACCAGAAAGTGGACCAAAATATGTCTCCCAAGTTGTGGGTAGCATGTCCACTGTGCAGTATTTTGCAAACTTTGTTATTATGACACAGCAAGAAACTGCCACATGATGGTTCACTACTTGACTGTGTATGTGTCACAAAGCAACACTTACCTGTGGGATGAGCTGACATTTAATACTCTAGTCCCCTTTTCTCAGGTGTTGTTTGCCTTTAGCACTGGGTACAGTCCACAGGATGGTGTCCTGCCAGGGATTCAGATCCCAGTGTCGCAGGTGGTGAGGAAGAGCTTGCTCCTGGGGGTTTGGCTTTGCCTGTTTGCCAAGAAAGCCACATGACCTTGAGTCCCTTACACGATCCGTGCCTCAGTTTCGTGTCCTCTAAAATGGAATAATACCCTGCCCACCTCTTGCAACTGATATGAAGAGTGTGAGTAGATGTGGACAAGTTGCTTGTTATGCTGAGCTCCATGCTTGCTGCCTTTTTTTTTACTTTTTCTCCTTCGCTGTTGCGCTGCATCAGCTTTGCTTCCTCACCCCCTGTTGTCGGCATTCCAAGCTTTGTGGAAGTGTGAGCCTCTTACCCCCTGGCATAGAGGCTCTGGGGATGGAAGGAAGAAGCTGCAAGTGAAACCGACCTAGAGGCTTCGCTGTGGGGTGGCCCCCATCTCCTTGCTCTGCGCCCGCTGGGACTTGGTGTGACGTCTGGCCAAGGACGTGCCTGTACCTGCTCCCCTCAACCACGGCCAGCCAGCCCCCACGCGGAAGAAGGGACTGGCTGGCCAGGCCTAGTGTGGCTCGGCCTTTCGTGGGGGGGTGCCAGAGGATCCGTTCCCGCTGCCCAGTGTCCTGGGCTGCCGTTTGGAAAGCAAGTCTCTCAATACATGCCTTCCGCTGTAGGCTGCAGCCCTGGGGTTGCCCGGCCAGGGTGTGCCGTACCCTCTCCCGGCGCTGCTGGAGGCTGGGGGAGGGCTCCCACCTCCTTTTATCCAGCCCCGCTCCTGCCTCTTGCAGGGTCAGATTGCAGGCATTTCATTTTGTGTGTTTCCTCCTTGCAGGCGGCTTTAGTGCATAATATCACCACAGGCGAGAGGCTCATCCGCACACTGCAAGGTGAGTTCCACTCGCTCCTCTGGGCCAGACTGGGGTTCTCTTGGGAAGGGCCGCCTTCTGTAGGATCTCCTGGACCCTAGTAAGGGTGGCATCGTGAACCACAAGAATGCTCCTTAGTGTATTCTTTTTGCCTGACTGTGCTCCTTAAAGAGCATTTCCTTTTAAATATGTTAGTGAGTACCCTGCAGGCTGGTACATACAGAAGATTCAGACTCTCATTTTTTGCTACATTAAGAAATACATATACACACACAGGTAACTTTGAACAACATGGTTTTGAAGTGCACGGGTCCACTTATGTGTGAATCTTTTTGATTAAAAGATTAGAAAATTGGAGATTTGTGACAATTTGGAAAAAAACTTCTCTAGCTTTATTGTTCAAGTACAATATATAATACATTATAACATACAAAATATGTGTTAATTGACTTCATGTTAATAGTAAGACTTCTGGGTCAACAGAAATCTATTAGTAGTTAAGTTTTGGGGGAGTCAAAGTTATATGTGGATTTTTGACCATGTGGAGGGTCAGACCCCTAACCCCTATGTCATTTAAGGGTCAACTGTATGTATGTAGGTAATTTTTTTTGTGTGTGGTAGATATAGGATCTCTTTTAATTTGGCTACCTAGAATTCAGATGCTCTTCATGAAACTTATAATAATTATCCAACCCAATTTAATTCCATTTCTCTGCTACTCTAGTTTGGTGGTCAGGGGTTGGTTTTCTTTGGCCCCCACTGAAGCCTTTTCATTTAGTGGCTGCAGGGTGGAGGGGTCAGCAGGTCCGCTGTGGCCTTCAACCTGGTGGGAAGAGCATGGGGTCCTGTGCCTGACCCTGCTCTCACTTTGGCCACTAGTCAGGAAACTCTCCGAAGCCCCCTGAGCCCGCCTCTGCCTCTAAGACTGGGAGGCCAGTCCAGGGCCTCACCGTCCAGAATGGTGGCCACAAGCTCCCTGTGGCCAGTGAACACTTGATGTAGCTAATGGGACAGAAGAACTGGATTTTTACTTATTTTAATGTTCAATAATTTAAAACTGCTACTTGACTGTTGGGAAACTTAAGTATCTTTGGGACAACTTGGAGATACATCAGTTTAGTTTTTAACTGTAGATTTTAAGAAATCTAAATTCAGGTCAAGAATTCCCAATGCAAATTTAATGTTTGTATTGCGATGTACTATAACTGTACACATCGGATTTCAAAGATTTAGCGTGAAGAAAAGAAACAGTTATCTTATTGATATTTTTCACATTCATTATGTGTTGGCATGATATTGTGTTTCTCCTGTTTTAAGTAAAATACACTATTGAAATTCTACCTGGTTTTACTTATTTCTTAAAAAAGTGATTATTAGGCGATTTTACATTACCTGTGTGGCTTGCATTAGTTCTGTTGGACAGTGATGGTCCAGAATTCTCATCCCAGATCAGGTACTAAGAATGCTAATAGGGGAGGTACAGGGTTACACAAAGGCAAGTGGGTTACTGGATTCCAGGGGCTTCTCAGAGCTTGTGATCTGCTGCGGTTCCTGGCTAGCCCTCAGGAAGAGTGCACAGCTGCAGCCTTTTCTTCAAGTATTTAATCAGGCATGATTCACATACTATGAACTACAGATATTTAAAGTGCACAATTTGAGGAATTTTGGCATATGTGTACCCTCAGGGAACCACTGCTAAAATCAATGTAATGAATGTACCCACCACTGCCAGAAGCTTCTCAGTGCCCCTTGGTCATCCTTCCTGAGGAGCGTCCCATCTGCCTTCTGATTGTGTAGCTCAGTTTGCATTTTTCACAGCTTTATGTGCTTGGAATCAGACTGTCTGTGCCCTTGTTCATCTGGCCCCTTTTAGAGAGCCATCCGTGTTGCTGATGTCAGATCTCCCCTTAGTGCTGAGCACTTCTCCATTGCCCCGTACTTGGTCTGAGTGTGGAATGTGCCTCTTTTAAGCTGGGTTCATTGAAGTGTAGTTTACAGTCAGTAAGGCGTACCCTCTGGAGCATGCATGTCTATGGTGTGGACAAATGCAGGTCCCTAGACCAGCACAGTCCAGATGCAGCCCTGCCCTCTCTCCAGGTGTCCCGGCCGCTGTCTCCACTCGGCCTCAGGCATCCAGCCCCTTAGACCAGCACAGTCCAGATGCAGCCCTGCCCGCTCTCCAGGAGGTGTTCCAGCCGCTGTCCCCACTCGGCCTCAGGCATCCAGCCCCTTCTCCATCCTGCAGTTTGCCTTCTCCACCTTGTCAGTACCTGCCTTTGAGGTGGGTCCTTGTTGCTGTGTATCCACAGATCTTGACCCCTTCACTTCTATTTAATTTTATTTCCCCCCAGAGAGCCTGTAGACCTAGCATTATGAGGCAAGGGCTGGAGCCACAGGGCCATATTCTGAGCCTGGTTGCTGCCATCTGCCCACCCTGCTGGTGTCACCTCCCTGTCACCCTAGCCTCGCCTGTTGTCAGCTGCTGCTTTTCCTGCAGAGCTGGTAGGAGACAAATCATCAGGGCAGCAGGGCCAGGGCTGATGAATTTCCTCAAAGAAAGCTGCTCTTCCCCAGATCGAGGGGTCAGAGGATTAATGAACATGGGGCCTCAGAATGGCTTGGCTGGGAACAAATGACCAGGTGAGGATACTGGTGGTCAGCCTGGTAGCCAAGACAAGGGAGGTTTGGCAGGAGTGACTGCTAATCTGACTAGACATCGGGATCAGCATGTCACTGACCAAAGGATGAGTCTGCCGGGGGTAGGGGGCGCCGGGTGTGCATGACCTGGGGGACAGCTCAGGGTTTGTGGTGTCTAAGAAAGAAACTGGTGAGTAGAGGGTCCTGATGCATTTTAATGGTTGGAGGTAAAAAAGATTTGAGGGAGATGTTTGGGAAAGAATGAAGGAGCAGGTTCTGGCACAGTTGGTGATCCTTCACGCTGGGCTGCAGTGGTCCTAGGGAGGGGCCGTGATCTCAGGCCTTCCTCAGCGCCCACCGCCACCCCCACATTCTCTCGGGTGCCCCTGGCCACTGTTCTGATGCCTGGGTTTTGACATGTCTGTCCTCGTCATGACGGCCATGCTGGTGACCTGTGCTCCTCGTCTTGGCTCAGACCAGTTCAAGGCCCTGCAGAAGAACTACGGAAAGCTGCAGCGGGATGTCCTCCAGTTCCAGAAGAACCAGACCAACCTGGAGAGGAAGTTCTCCTATGACCTGTAAGTGTGGCTCAGCATCCGGGGCGCACACATGCTGGCTGATGACAGGACCTGGCATGATCTCTGATGGCCCTCCCTGGGCAGAGCACAGGGCGCTGCGGGAAGGTGCAGCCCTGGCAGGGAGGCAGGTCCTTTAGGAAAGAGGAAAGTGCATTACATTTTTTTGAGTGTCAGCAGTGCTTTTGGAAAGCTGTGGAAAAGTCTTAGCAGGTAAGCTCATAATACGAAGTAAAAAGGGCAGTTCTCCTATGCAGGAAATGACTTACTCAACATGCTTTATAGTTTGAAGGTTTTTTTTTTTTGAGTTTTAAAAGTGCAGGTGTACTAATTTAGTCAGTTGTCTAAAGCCTTGTTTAAAGATGTGTTCCAGAGGTGCTCAGATGTCAGCAAAGTCCAGCTCCTAGATTGAAAGGCAGTTGAGAGAATATCAACCTGATTTGTCACTGGGTGTCAGTATTGTGGCCATTTTGTTTCTTGAGACTGTTAAGTGTCTTTCCAAATTTCTGCAGTGAGAATGGAGCGCTTTTATTTTTTCAGCTTTCTCGAGGTATAATTGACAAATAATCATTATGTATATTTCAGTAGTAAAACATGTTTTGATATACCTATGCACTGTGGATTGATGCCCCCAGCTAAGCTAGTTAACCCCTGTGCAATCTCACAGTTACCTCTCCTGTGTGTGTAACACAATCCACTCTGTTAGCACATTTCAAGCATACAATGCTGTGTTAGTGTAGTCACACGCTGCCCATTAGATCACCAGCTTATAGTTACTCAGCCTGTTTTAATCTGATAATTTTATTTGTATCTAAATCTATCCTTTTACTTCTCAGAGTACTTCTATGATCAAAACAGAACAGCAAACTTGAAAAAAAGTTAGCCAAACCCATTTAGAAAGATAGTGCAAACCAATTTAGAGGGTAGAGAAGGAAGTTGTAGTCAGTGTCCTTCTCTCACCCACCCTCTTTTTTTCCCCTCATGAAAACAGTACAACTCCAAAAAGGAAGCTTAGGACTCAGACACAGGCAGCGCCCTGTGACCCCAGCCCCCTTTCCCTTTGACTGGCTTCTCTGTAGTCTGTGCCCAAGTTCATAAGAATTTTGTACATAATTGCAGTCATTAAATATTTTAAATTACTTTTTCACTTGCCTCCATTATGTGTGTGTAAATATTTCTCCCAAATGTTTTGTTGTTAAAGACGGCTGGTTAATATTCCCAGATGTGGAGGTACCAAATTTAATTCATCATTTCTGTTTGTTGGCTATTTCTCAAAGAAGTATTTGTTGTTATAGCTAGCCTGACATAATGAATATAATTTTAAAATAATTTTTTTTAGATCATTTCCTTCTAAAAAACACACAACTGTGGGGTTAGTGTGGCACTTGGTATAAATTGCCAAATTGCCTTCCTAAACTAGTTTAACCATCTGTACAAAGTGGGAGAATAGCTTTCTCACATCATTGCCCTCATAAGGGTTCTGACATCCTTTTCAAAGATTGTACTCTCACTCCCCACAGTATCTTCCTGATCACATTAAAATCAGGGAGCTCCAATTACGTGAACGTGCAAAGGCTGTGGGCCAACACTTAATGCAAAGGAAACATAATTAGTGAATACGCATATGAACCTTATTCTGTGAGGCCACTGGTTTGCAGTAGGGGACAATTTTGCCCCCAGGATATCTTTGGCAACAACCAGAGACGTTTGTGGAGAAGGGTGCCACCGGAGAGCACCAGAAGGGTGCTCCCTCCTGTGGGTAGAGAGCAGGGTTGCTGCTAAGTGTCCCCAGTCCCACAGAGCGGTCCCCACAACAACTTGTTTCTGGCCCCAAACACCAAGAGTGTTAAGTTGAGAATGGAGCTAGGCTGATAATCAGTGAAAAGCATTCAGACAAAAATGAAGTGCCTCAGTCTTATTATTCATTCTTGAAAGACACCTTAAGGCACATATTTCCCTCCCATTGATCGGAGTACAGCAAGTCATTAATTAGTGGGTGCACTTGCTAAATGTTGTCCCAGATTTTGGCTGAGCTGGGAATGAGCCAGGGCCCCGATAGGAGGCAGTTCTGCTCCCCTCGGAGGAGCCTACGGGCAGGGTGAGGGATGTGCTGAGCTCGGCCATGCTCTTTGGCTCTTGCACAGTGAATGGCTAGACTGCAGACTAGGCCTGGCTGCATCTATTTCAGTAGCTGTGCCCAAAGCCTGGTGCCAGATACAGGGTACTTCCTGGGATGATGTCATGGGACGTTGAAAGCTGGAAGTTCGTTGAATTTGTTGTCATTAACTTTCTGTGGATTATAGACCCTTTCTGAGAATCTGATGCAAGATGTAGGCATCTTGTTAGCAAATTTATAAATGGTTATATACCCAAAATTGTACATTTAATGTGTGGGATCCCTAATGCATAACTGCCTGCCCTCCATTAAAACACCATCTCTTGTCTAGTCATTTTATAGAGGTAGTGGCAAGAGTGAAAAAGCTTGAAAAACAGGCAGGGTTTCAGGCTGCACAAGTTAGTGCTTTTTCTTCAGTATGAGAGCCAGCACGCCTGCCCACTTCCTACTCCTGCACCTGTGGCAGACATTACTAAGTGGTCACTGCACTCGATCCCAACACAGCCTTGCGGTCTCTCCCCAAAGCACTTACAGTCAGTGTATCGTATGATCTGCTTGCAATCTCATCTCCATGCCACGAGGAAGTAGAGTTTGCAAATGCTGTTACTAGAATGTCATCAGTAATACTCTGACGATCAGCGCCCTGGGGTGATCAGTCACCCACCTCGATAGATTCCTGCATTGAGCACATTCTGTCCTTAGTATTCTGACCATCAATTGCACCAGTTAGAGTAATCACTGGGGCCAAGTCCTGTATGTCTCTACATTTTAGCTCTATTTAATGCTTGAACATTTATCTGGTACATATAAGAAAGAACATTTAGCCCACATGATCTGTATCTTGGAATTTGAGCTTTAAACATTTAGCGCCCATAATCTGTGTCTTGGAATTTGAGCTTTATTTTGAGGTTGTTTCCTTATTGTTGTCAAGCTGGAATGGGGGAGGCTGACCTTCGTCTGCAAGGCCAAGAGACAGAGGCTCTTTGTACTTGATTTTGGCAAGGCTGAGAGCAGGTGAAAACAGCATTTACCTTTTGCAAGTTTAAAGGTTCAGAATGGACGTGCACCTGCACATTTGCTAATCTTGAGGCTCTGAGAAAATGAATTGGACATGTTTAGTTGTTTGAAGATATAGATGTCTTTTTTGTTTGTGTGTTTAAGCTGTTGGGCACTAGTCTAGCACAATGACTTGCATGTGTGTGGGAATTTCATCAAATGTTTTCTTGATCTGTGAGTGTCCAAAATCAGAATATCTTCTGTTATTTCTATCACACCTGATACCCTTCTGTGTGCGTAGTTCGTTGAGACCCAGCAAGTCCTTTGAACCAAAGGGCATATTACAAGGGTTACAGGTTGAGTGCACTGAGATTTGGCCATGAAATGCCTACAACTCCGAAGAGGGTTAGAGAGAGCCTGCGTAGTCCGGGGACCTTCTGATTTCAGTCCTGTCACTTTCTCTCTGTGACCCTGGTCAGAGTCATTCATATTACCACCTTGCTCCCTCCTTTGTACAAATGGGGAGTTTTCTCAATTGCTTCACAGTCTGACACTTGAGATGCTCCTAAATAAATTGCAGGCAGAAAGCTGAAGCAATGCCTTAAAATATCTTAGCTAACTGGGAGCTCAGGCTGAATTAGATTGTATGTCCCAACAATTCTGACACCAGATGGGTGTCTTCCAGTTCAATCCTTTTTTTTTCAAGAATAAATTAAAAAATTTTGACCAGATTAAGGTTTACAGAATTATCACAGAGATAGTATAGAGAGTTGTGTGTTCCCCACAACCCATTTCCCTGTTGTTAACTCTTCATATTAGTATGGTACACTTGTCACCGTTAATCAGCCAATATGGATGCATTACTGTTAACTGAAACTCATACTCTATTCCTGTCTCCTCTGTTCATCCCCATTGTGTTTCCTGTTCCGAGGCGCAACCTCACATTCATTCATCATGTGTTCTCAGGCTCCTCTTGGCTGAGACAGTTTCTCAGACTTGATTTTTTATAATCTTGATAGTTTTAATTTGTACTAGTCAGGTAGTTTATAGAATGTCCTTCAATTGAGATTTATCTGATGGTTTTCTCATGGCTAAACTGACACTGCACATTCTTGGGTGGAAAGCCACAGAGGGAGTGGGCCATTCACATCACTGCAAATCAGGGGCACTCACGCTCCATGGGACTCGCTGGGGCTGATGCTGACCTTGATCAGCTGGCCAAGGTTGTGTTGGTCAGGTTCCTGCAGGGTAAAGACACTCAGTTACTTCTTCCTCTCTACTATAACTTTTCAAAGAGAGTCACTGTGCATAGCCTACACTTACAGACGGGGGAGTTATGCCCCATTTTCCTAAGGGCAGAGTATCTCTATGAACTTCTTGGAATCTTTCCACACAGATTTAGCTCTTCTTGTCTGTCTGATTATTTATTTATATCCATATGGCCTCAGGGATATTTATCTTATACTTTGGTTGTAATCTGATACTATTTTATTGACCTTTTTCCTCAAATTGTCCAGCTTTGGCCATTGGGAACTTATGCAGATGATCCCATTATCCAGTTGCCATATCCTCAGCATTCTGTATTTACCCTTTTTCTTCTTTGAGCACTTTCTTATAGTCTGGCTCCAAAAGATGCTCCAGGCTCATTGCATATATTTCCTGTGCCAGTCTAGAACCACCCAATCAACTATTCCTCCATTTCTTGCTCTTTTTTTTTGGAGGGTGGTATTAGAAACCAAGATCTGGGTGTTAGGTATGCTTGTTGCTACTGGGGTGACATTGCTAATTGGCTCTCAGCTGACAGAGCAAAGACACTTATGTGTAACCTGTGTTGCACACAGACATTGACAAAAATTTCTGTATGTATCCATATTAAGCATGAGTTCATACC